TTTTTTATTTTTTGGTACCAGGGATCGAACTCGGGACCTTGCACTTGCAAGGTAGGTGGCAGCACCACTGAGCTAAATCCCCAGCCCAGAAGATTCTTTTTAATAGTTCAAAATTGTGTTCAGTATTCTCTAAATAGAAGGGTAGATTTGTTTAACCAACCTCATAGGTCCATTACTGTGATTTGTGTACACAACATGTTTTACTCCCCACACTTTCCCCACAGGGTTTAATAGACGAATATAGTTAATTGCTTCAGAACCCAACAGATTTTTTTTTTTTAGTATCTTAAGTTTCCCTAGTGGGATTTGAATTTATAATCCTCCCTCAGCCTCCCTAAGTGTTGTAATTACAGGCATGTGCCACTGCGCCTAGCTAGATTTTTTTCTTTTGTTTTTCCTTTACAATAAGATTATGTAATTTCAGATCATGTTGATATTCAAGTGAGTAAAATAGGAAATATAGTCATGCCTTTGTATCAGATATTTTTTTAAAACTACAAATGAGAGAAAGAAGTAAAATATTTTTATCTTACCTGGGCTACATTTCATATTCTCAAAAAATTAATTTTGACAAAGCCTGATACTAGTGTTAGAATGCACATACCATCTTGAGGTGATGGCAGCCAATAAAATATAGCTTAAATCAGTAGGTGTCAAATTTAGTGCTAAATCCACAGCAATAAAAACCTTGTCAAAAATAGTCCAACTTAAAAGAGCTTCTAAGAATTCTAACAACTTGCCAGTGTTTCAGAAGTGAAAGTTTACAAAGTGACTTCAAAAATGACCATTCAGTAGTGGTGAAAATCATTTGAAAAGTTTTTATGCTGACTCACTCTCCCATGAGATGTAGTTTTTGTCCTACCAGCCTAAAGGCTTAACTAGTTGTATATGTGTTCATGACCTAACTTACTCTGCAAAGAAGTGAAAGCTGTCAGATTATACTACAAGTAACCTACCTGGGAAGCAGCCAATTTAGGGCACCACCTTAGGTATTCTGACTTATTGAAAGACTTCTGGGGAGCTGGGGGACTGATGATGGAATGCCAAGGCCCTTAGCTCCTGTTAGGCCTTGAGGTTCCTGGAACCCTTAAGGTTAGGACTGCTGCTGAAAAGCACAATCTAGAATCTCTTAATTTACCTTCCCATCTTAATAGTCTTGCAAGAATTAAGTGTATTTACTCACCAGGCAGGATGATACAGGTTCTTTGTATAATTTATTTAAAACTATGACATGAAAACTAAAAAGCCAGAAATTAAAGGAAATATATAAAGCAATAGAGATTATAGTTCCTGGATAACCAAAACAAAACACTGGAATGGGTTCTCATTTAAAATATTCCTCTCATACAGGTAATACTCAAGCTTGAGAATGCTAATATGTAAGATTTTTAGTGACACTGTAGAATCTGGTTAAGAGATTGAATTTCCAGTACGAAAACAAGGGTCTCGACCATCATTCCACACAAGTAAGCAGTAACAGTATCTCTGCAGGCCTGGGAAGAATCTTGTGTGTTCACTGATTTCTCTTCAAGAAGGAGTGCTTCAAAAGCTGGAGAGCAGAAGGTCGCTCATGCTGGTCCCTAGGAAGGGGAAACACATTAGAAGCAGCACCCTGTAAAGTGACTGCCAACAAGATCTACTTAATTCACATACAGACTTTAAAGATATAAGTATTAACTGCTGACAGTCCAAGAAACCTGAGTTGAGTCCAGACTCCAGTTTTTCACTCACCAGTAAAATGAAGACAACAATACCTACTTCATTGGAAAAAATGAATAATGTATATGCAGCATTTCAACACACATAGGTGTTCAAAAACTTGTGATTAAAAACTAGGCCCTACTTTTCAGGCCGGGGATTTAGCTCAGTGGTTTCGCCGCCTGCTGTGCAAGCACAAGGACCTGAGTTCGATCCCCGGTACCAAAAAAAAAAAAAACTAGGCCCTACTTTTCCATGGCACTTCATTCAATTTGGGGTATAATTTACAGTTACAGTTCATACTTTGAGAGTACATTAAGCGCTTAGCATTAGATTTAAGATTTAGAATATTAGAATCCAGACTAGAACCCAGGTGGCACACACCTGTAATCTCTGCACTCGGGAGACTGAGGCAGAAGGATTGCTGTGAGTTCAAGGCCAGCCTGAACTACATAACAAGACTTTGCTTTAAAAAAAAAAAAAAGGCAGAATTGAAGACTGTAAAAAGTAGTTAAGGGGCCGGGGATTTAGCTCAGTGGTTCCGGCACCTGCCTTGCAAGCGCAAGGTCCCAAGTTCGATCCCTGGTACAAAAACAAAAAAACGTAATTAAGCCAGGTGTGACGGTGCACCCCTATACTTCCTACTAATTGGAAGGCTTGAGCAGGAGGATTGGAGCTACAGGTGAAGGAATCTGACCACCATCATCTCCCACTCCCTGTGCTCTGTACATCTGCTAAGGATGTATAATAATGGGCTGATAAGGCCCAGTGAGCACCCCCATAACTCCCCTTGTTACTCAGCCCTGCTCTTGACAAGCAACCTCAACTCCTTGTATGTTCCCAAGCCTTGTCCCCCGCAGGTAGCCACAACTTTTCACTGAACTCTTCCCCTCAAAAGTCCTATTTTGACTTTTTTCTTTCACAGCTCCAGTTTATGCACATGACCCTATGAAAGAATTTATATCCTGTACGAGAGTTACCCAGTCTGATCTCAGTGCTGGGAGTGGCCCCTCTCAAGTTTGTTCTAAAATAAACCTGTCCTGTTGAGCTCCTACGTTTGTTCTCTTCCTTTTTTCCTAACAGGCCAGCCAAGGCAATTTAGTGAGATGCTATCTCAAAACTAAAAAGGGCTGAGGGTGTAGCTCAGTGTTAAGAGTCTTTGCCTATTTTGCACCAGGCCCTAGGTTCAATCCCCAGTACCACAAATAATAATTTCATAAAACTTTTTTTTTTCCAGTACCGGGATCAACTCAGGGCCTTGCGTTTGCGAGGCAGGCATGGCACCACTGAGCTAAATCCCCAACCATCCTAAAACTTTTAAAAATATGCTTTGGTGATTGAAATAATCCCATTTTGACCATATGCTCATTTGATGCTCTTAGATGAGAATAAATTAAAAGAAGATAGTTGCTCCGTACTATTGTAGTTTAGATTTTCTTCAAGAAATTTAAATCTTTTGGAAATCTATCATTCAGTAAAGCAGTCAGTGAACCTTTGGAACAGTCAACAGCTGCAGTGGTCTATTCCAAAGGCATTCTCTTGGTTAAATTGGCCTTTTATTTTGGAAAGTACTGTAGATCAAACAGAGCCTCACACATGCTAGGCAAGCTCTTTACCACTAAGCTACATCCATGGCCCTTTTTTCTTTCTTTTTTTTAGATGGCCTTGCTAGGTTGCCCAGGCTGGCCTCAGACTTGTGGTCCTCCTACTTCAGCTGAGATTATAGGCATGCACCTGTGTACCTGGCTTAATTGGCTA